GAAAATGAGAACATGGAAAAATAATAGAGGTTCAGTAGATATTGGTAGATCACAGAGAGCGAATGCATCTGCATCTTTGAGAACGATTTCAAGCCATATCACTAACTGTCTCCAGCCACCTGGCTCTTAAAATCCCAAAGACTGCAAACCAGTCCAGAAGTCTACATCTCCCTATATGGCTAACTCAAGCTATCTGTTCGATATTTCATGGTTATACCACCACTAGCTCTTTTCCAACCTGAACTTACTTCAGTTAATATTTCTCGTCGAGGAAGTCGAGGAAAGTAGGCCGCCTGGATATAAAATTAATACATACTTAACATATCTAATAATTCTCAGGACTCCTAAGTGCAGAGAAGCGCAATAAAGACTTCCCAATTATATATAACGTTAAAAAAAACCCTTAAATTTTAAAGTAATCTATAAAAATTATTATCCCCCATGGTTTCATCAAAAATTTCGGTGTGAAACAGTTACATTCCTTTAGATTTTTTTTAGATTTACAGCTTGATTCCACACTGTATTTTTGGTACAAGTATGGAATTTTCAGCATGGATATCGGTAGCCCAAATTTCGCAGACCGACCATAGATATCAGGTGTGCGCCGGCGTGGGCTCGAACCCCGGACCATGTGCATGGTCGGCGAGAGTCCTAACCACTGTGCCACCGACGCACAAAGTAAATACGTTGCCCTACTCTCTGTTGCTCCTTTTTCATCAAACTTGGGAAAAATATGAGTTAAGTTTACACCCCTTACAATTAATAACATTAGTGTGAAATAATTTCAAGATTGAATATAGAAAATATTTAATTTATTTAAATTAAATATTTTCTATAGTTTGTAAGGGTTAGTTTTGTTTTTACTAGTTGATCACGGATTGATATCAGTTAGAGAAGCATTGAAAATCAACCACAGGGAGTACTGGACAGCTGCTGTTTCATCCTAGTTTGGGAATCATAGGCAGTAAGCACCCACTGGGGTTCGAACCCAGGACCTTCCGGTTACAAGGCTAGCTGGCTCGTATACCATTTAGCCAGTGGGACCCGATTCAATGGCCAGCCAACCCATGAATTCTAACTTCTACCATTCCGTGATTTAGCGCGATCCCAAACAATGTCGTCGGTGGGACATCCATCCTCGTGAGAATAAATTAAGTATATTTTCCAGTGTTGATCTGCAGGGATTTGATTGGTTAGATCATAAACGGATGTTATAGAACAGTTGAAAACCAGAGATTATTGGATAGCTGTTTTGTCTCTAGCAGTACACATACACAGCAATAACAGGAAACGAATCCAGTAGCTTCAAGCTATTAACCTTTCAACTACTGAGATGGAATCCAATGTCATCACAGGAATTCTAACTTCTATCAATTCGTGACATATATACCACCATCGCTCACCGACATCATTAGCTATTATCTGATCTCACATTGAACTTGATGCAACCGGGTGGGGGGCATGACTTTTCAGGACTAGAGTAGAACTAGTAGAGTATATTTATTAACTTTCAAGTATTGGTTTCTAAGGTTTTGATTAGTCTAAAATTTGATTACTTATGATTTCATCAAAAAATTGAACTCAGTGTTAAAGTGACTTAAACTAGGAGGGAAAAGGTGTCCTGTGTCCCCTCCTCTCAGCTCCAGGTTCAAACTTGAATATATATTTCTTCCATCAAATATTTAAGCATTAAAGTTGACAATAATACTTAGTTCTTGAAAGGTAAAAATCGAGACGAATATGTGGCTGTGTCTAAGGACTGGTTACTTGTTTCTGTATGAGTACCCTTGTAGACCCCCTGAATAACCCTGATTCATTGAGTACTTTAAGATGCGGAAATATCTGTTTGCCTACCTGTATCTGTTAGACGAATATTTTTCTTTACTCCTTTACTTTCCCAGTGTAAAATAGGGGACTTCACGATAGAGGCCTGAAATTTCTGTAGCTGTGGTGTTTATTTTTTTTACAGGATAGGGTTACTAGTCTCATGCCATCAACCTTCCCTCTTTACCAGTCTTACTACTGGGTTAGCGAGGTCTGGGAGTGCATCCGTGGCCGCGGACTGAACCCAGAACCACCTGCATGGTCGGCGTGGTTGTGTTAGATGAATATAAGTATTAAAATCTTTGAGGAAATATTTCTTTCACTGTCTGAATGGAGAGGAAAATGTGAGTGATCAGCATAACACTAATCATTTAACTGTCATCAATTTAAAGTCATCTTGAAATCTTGTTTTGACTGTAAGGTATAATTAAATATGACTGTCACTATTACTATTAATATTACTCTTAAGCGTAGTCTATTTATTGTTATAATTATGAATGAAACATATAGAACGTAAGAAAAAATCTGCTTATTTCTCTAGGGAGATAGTCGGATGGATGGAGAATAAATCACTTAAATAGTTCACTGTTTCTTTTATTCCTATTATGGATAAGGACAATAGCGCTAAATGCTAAATACCAAAGTGTTAATGACCCATTTTCAACTTACTCATCAAGATAGTAATTATCCTCGTCTCCCTCATCAGTCTCTGTGTGTGCGCTTAGGTTCAACATTGGAAATCGGTAAAGTGTAACAGACAAAGTGTTTCCAGTGAACAAGTTATTAAATAATCCAACTGAAATAAGAAAGTAATCTGAATAAAACTTATAATTTTCTCACAGTGAGTTAAAATATCAAAGTATTACATGGCATAATTCACCACCAGGAATATATCAAAGTGATTATACTAACTCTAATAAGGTGATCATCATAATTTTAATGACTGAGTTAGTTTAAATCGTTATAACATTTCCCAAAATATACATATAGGTGAATTGAAATGATATATATATATATATATATATATATATATATAGGTGACATTTGTCCATTAAGTGAGACATTAATAACACTCCCAGTTGATATGTGTCAATAACATATGAAAGGAGCATTTTAAAATCATTGCCTTCGTGAACTAATGGATGTATTGTCTATATGGGTTCAATATAGAACTTTGCACCAATATGCAGCAGTTCGAGTCGCCACACTTCACTCAACACATAAATAAAGTCAGAGAAGAAAAAAGTAAAAAGAAACACAAAATAGAGACAGTAAACAGAGGTGTAAGACAAGGAATAGTAATATTGAAGAACAATATAGTTATTTTGGGTATAAGTCACAAGGAGTGGATCCATTTGCGCCAGCCACTAAGAACGATATTGAGACATTTTACCAATTGTCTCCAGCCTCCATTGGTTTTTACCGTCCCGAAGACCCCAAGCAGTCAGGAAATCTACACCTTCCTTTATGAATGGCTTAAACTAACTGTTGCAGATTTCATTGACTGATGAAGCCATCCTTTGGTATGACCACCTCTGGCTCTTTTCCAAACTGATCCATCCTTTGTCAGCTAACATTGACCATTGTCGGGGAAGGCAATGGCTAGACATGCATGCGTAACACGTGTCCTAACCATCTCAGTCGATGTAACTTCACAGCCTAGTCGATTGATTTCTCCTCAATGCTTACCTAGCACTCGACCGAAGCCTAACCTCAATATTACTCAACCTTTCATACCATTGCACACGGGAGATAGAACGCAGGCACCTGTGATCAAAGACAACTAGCCAGCCTTCTCATGTCTTCCACTCTCAATGATCAGGTCTCACAGATATAAAGGAGGAGGTGTAAGCGGACTGCTGAGCAGTAAACACGTCGTTTCGTTGACAGCCAGCCGGATATCACGTCTACGCCAGAGACGGCGTAAACTGGCAGGCATATGCGAAACGAGCCTTCTGTATCCGTGCTGGTGCTGGCTGATGCAACTTTCCAAATAAGCGAAGTTGTCAACGTGCTCTACAACTTCAATCCTGCCTATTTCTGAGCTAGGAGTCAGTGTAGTCCAGTCCTGTGACATCGTCTTACACTTGGTGGGATCGAATCGCATGCCAAACATTCGCCGATTGCAACTCAAGCTGTTCAGAAGACTCTACTGTATTTTGTCAGCGTCTTCACTTCGGAGAGAGGACTATATCATCTGCATATTCTCAGTCAACGAGATTATTCCCTGGTGGTAACAAGTCGATCCGTGAGTCGCTGAAGTCAGCAGTTAGGGTTAATTCCATCGGTACATCTATGAAGAAATTGAATAGAAATGTGGATAGTGAGCATTCCTGACGAACACCACTAGTGGGTGTATTATAACAGTAGCATGCAGTTTTGTGCAGTTATGCTTGTCTACCATTTATGGTGTCAAAGCAGATCATTTTCCGTGATCTGAATAGTTTAGTTTTTTAAGGAAACTGTGTTGGTGAAGATTTCACCTTCACGAACTGTGTAAGTAACAGATCGAGAGTTTGCGAATTGTGAATTTGTTTTATGATGTTACCAGTTCATCTTTGTAGTCAGCCAGACATCGGGTACACCACTGATGAATTTTGCCACTAACCCGCGACACAATCGTCTGTCTGGTGATTAGATTACTTCTATATATGTGGTTGTCTGGTGAGCAACACTGGTTGATATAAGTGGTACGAAAGTATTCACCTGAGTCAATCAATCGATCAGCAGTCTATAGTTTTCTGTGGAAGTAACCGTTTTGATTTGCGAATACCGCCCTTTTCAATAAAGATGAAGTATTTTTAACTTGAAATGACAAAAACACGTATTCCAGTATTGTATTTTCTGGTGAATTAGTTTTGAATTTATTTTTATTATTACTTACTTCTTTGATCCTCTGGCTTCTGAGTGGAACATAGGACTTCCACCTTGAAGTTCGAAGTTTCATAAATAATGGTGTTTATTTTTATTTAAGGGATAGGGTTGCTAGCTTTAAGTGAGACGTAACCCTACCTTTTAACTGGGATTACTTGCGGCTAATCGACGTCTACCGAAGATCAAACCTGGACCACATCAGGTCTGAACTATTGAAGAATAAGACATTTTAGAATATACAATGCATTCCTTGAATAAACATAATAAATGCCATTTTATCTTTTTTTCTTATCCCATTGTAGAATGTTTCCTATGACAGCGTTTCCATTGAATCCTGTTAACTGTGGTCGAACATCAACCGATTAATATGGCCAAGTCCTGGAACACTTCAAGGCATTGGATCTGGATTAAACTGTGATCCATTGATGTATAACACTCATAATTCTTCATCATTATCCTCATCATCACCATCAAATCATGGTGTAATAAATAATTCAGCTGCGATATTCAGTGGAGCGACGAATTTTCTTTCACGATCTAACTATAACTGTGGTGTTAATCAAACCTATCGATTACAACAGCAACAACAACAACAACAGAATTCAACAAATTATTTAAACGAAGAGATAACAAACCAATGCAACGACGGTATAGATGTTGGCGTTGTCAACGCCACCACCACCACCACGTCAAATGAAAAATCCCAAGCAACTATAGGCAATAAATTATCATCAACACTGGATATAACAACAAAAGCGGAATGTTTATCTCAAATTGGTAAATTCCCTACAATATTATCAAGTATAGAGAAGAATGAAATTCAAAGCGTTACGAATTATGAGAATTGGTCACGTGAACATCGGAAAAAGCATAAAAAATCAAAAATGCATTCATCAAGTAATTCTACTGAAAATGATTCGGTAAGAAGTAAGACAACAAAAGTATCACCGCATCCGCATCCAGTATATATGGATGAATCTGTTGATAGCTTATATCATAAGTTGAATGGAATTTCTGATGATATTACACCATCCATTAGTGGAGGGCTATCAGCTACAACAACACTAGTGTCGTGTACAAATTCCCTGACGAAGACAAGACCATCAGATATGAAAGATGCATGTGAAGACTATTCATCAAATATTAATGAAGAGGATGATGAAGAGGAGGCGGTGGAAGAAGCTGGAGCAGGAGGAGAGGGAAATTATCCATTCAATATGTTCTCTACTCCAGGTCATAACAATAATAATAATAATAATAATTTCCCTGGTGATTACGATAATCGTTATAATACTTCATCATTCCGACAATATGATCATTGTCAGCCATCCTCATTATCTCGTAATGATGAGAATATAAAACGTACATTAAATAATATCATTAATATGAATTATTCAGTAAGACCAAATCATTCTCAGTATACAGAAAATTCAGGTATGGATGAAGAAGAAGAAATCTATAAAACAATGATAAATACAAGTAATCCAGATGATATTATTACATCATCAAGTAATCCGAGTAGTCTTGAAAGACGAATCAATAATCATTCAACAGAATTAGACTCAGACACTTGGAATACATCGATACATTCACAGTATTCACAAAATATTCTACCACATCAGCTGGCATCATTTTATTCAAGTTGTTCAAATGAATTGGCTTTAAGACAAAGTTTGCTGTTCAATTCACATCAAAATCAAAATAGTCTAGAGACAGGGAATTATTCTATGTATCATTCTCATCCTCATCAGTCTGAATCTGGACGTCATACATCTTCGCCTCCTGCTCCACAACCACCCCCACCTCTGCCGCCAGCAGCAGCAGCAGCCGCGGCAACAATGTCAACAATACAAACCAGTATAGAGCATAATTCTTCTACTGGAATGAGTCGTAATGAAATGGAATTTTTAAGTAATTTCAATAAATTATCGTCTGATAATAACCCCAGTGAACCAAATGATATAAAAGTCGTAACAAAGTTCACTAATGCAATACAACAGCAGCAACAACAACAACAACAGCAACAAGGAACAAGACGAATGATAAATGGTCCATTAGGTCAGAATACTTTAGATGTATGCAAGTTACCATATCAACAACATCAACAGTCACAACATCGACAAGGACCTGGTACTGGTAGTGGTCAAATGATTGATGATATAAGCGCAGCATATCATTCAGCTGCGGCTATGGCAGCAGCGGCAGTAGTTGCACAAGCTGCAGTGGCTAGTGCAAATGTGACAGGTCATCAAAATCATTCTCACCTTCATCAGCATCACCAACATCATCCTCATCCGCATCCCAATCCTCAAACCCATCCGCATCTCCATCCTCATTCTCATTCTTCACTTCAACATTCTATCCCACTAACACAACAACACCATCAACAACAACAACAACAATCACAGTTCACTGAAAGTGAACATTCCATTATGCATTCACATAATACAGAACAATACAGCATGAATACTAGTAATAATAATAATAGTAGTAGTAATGGTAGTAATAGTAGTAATAACGGTAACAATAATAATATATTGCATCAATCACAGTATAATAATATGATGAATCAAAGTCTAGGATTATTTCCTCTTATGAACAATTCGAATTCGCTGAATACAACATTACAAAGTATGAATAATAATAATAATAATAAAACAATGAAAAATAAAAAGCTTACAGTTACAGGTTAGTTAAAACAAAACAAAAATAAAATAAATCATAATGACAAGTGAATTAGTTTCTGTTGCTACATTTATTATTCTGTTGTTCTTGTAGATCTATAGGCATGTTTAATACTCTGCTTGTCTGTGTGTTTGTTTGTGTGTCTGTGTGCGATTGTTTACGTATCCATGGTAGTAGTTGTAGGCATGACATCTTCTATGTGGCGTATTAAAATGCCTATAGTAACAGTTTGGAATATTATTGACAGTTGAAAGGATTGTTTCAAGAATGAATGATAATACTACAGTTTGTTTATTTTTGCATCGACGGATGATGAAGGTTTATGTAAAACAGTGTTTTTGTCTTTATTCCTTCACATTCGCCAGTGGAACATTGGGCTACTTCAAACTAGAAGCCTAAAGTTTCTGTAGCTGTGGTGATTATTTTTTTTTTACAGGATGGGGTTTTGCTAGCCTGCTTCATGCCCAACCTTTCCTCTTTATCAGTCTTATTACTGGGTTTGCAAGGTAGAGGAGTGAGTCTGTGCTCGGGGGACCATGTGTCCGGGGTCAACGAGCGTCCTAACCGGTGTACCACCGACGCATGTAAAACAGTGTATGACTTGTTTGCTGACATGCTTAATAGGACAACTTAGGGGGGGAATAAGACGTGAATTTAAGGTTCTTCACTTTATCCACAGATGGACGCTGATAATTCAGTTGTATGTGTAATTAGCAAAATTTTTATATCTTTAGTGGGGGAAATTCTGTAAGGTTCTCTTTGGAGACCCAAAATACACGGGTGATGAATGACAATAAAGAGGACAAGCATACTTGCCTGGTGATGTATTCGACATAGAGAAGATGTGGATGATGAAAATACGCGACAATCAACAACAACAACAAGAATAACAAGCACCAGTCAACATTATCAATGGAGGCAGAATGAAACGAGGTCAATTCCTTCGCTTATACACAACCAGGCAGCAGGAATGATGATGATGATGATGTAGAAACTAGCAAGGATCAGAAAGGCAAGACAAACTTTTATTACACTGAGATCAGTGTGAAAATCAACACTAGTGCAAAGGCAGTTGGGTGAGAAAATTAATGCATCATGAAAAAAAGGATTTCGAATAGGATATTGAAGACTTTTATCGATAATTGTCTTCATTGGCTACATATTAGAGATAAAATAGCCGGCCAGAAAGAATTAACACCAAAAAAAACTCTGGAAATGAAACAATCAAGAATGTATTTTTCAACGAATATGTGGAACAAAATTGAAATGGATCGAATAAACACTGGGGAGGTCGTTGGGTTGTCCACTACTCAATTGGAAACCGAATGAGAAATGACGAGTTGTGCTGCGGCCCAGGGATAACAAGGAGGAGATAATTGTAGAGCAACTTGAAAACGATTGAGGACGACAAAGTGATATGGCGATGTAGTGTTGAAGCCCTATATTCTACTACGGGCCAGACTGAATAATATTGCGTCGGTGACACAGCGGTTATGACGCTCACCGATCATGCATATAGTTCAGGGTTCGATCCCCTGCCGACGCACACCTGATATCGATGTTGGGCCTGCAAAATTTGAGCTACAGATATCACACGCTGGAAATTCTATACTTGCACCGGAAATACGGTACAGATCTAATAATACTATTTTTAGCAACATTACTGAAGTAGTACCATCACTTCACTTTGGACAAGCTTGATGAATGTTAAGATTAGATATATTGTTTTATAATAACTTTCATTTTCAATGGGTTGGAATGAACAACACACGCTGTTTGACGGTTATTTAAGCCACCTGAGTGAGATGTGATTCAAACCTGTGACACAGTAGTCGAGCACAGTTGAGAACCAAAATCCAGCGATTTACAGCTCTGTTGAAGTCTTGTTGACAAGTACCATTAAGGAAAAGAGTACTTTAAAACTGAATGATGGGACAGGGAATAATTTCCCAATACAGTGTATAGCATTGTTAAACTCTTCCTAAGTTTATATATAACACTGAAAGAAGACAAGCATACTTGCTTTGTGATGTATTCGGCATATAGAAGACGTGGATGATGAAAATACGCGACAATCAACAACAATAATAATAATAATAACAAGCACCAATCAACGCTATCAACACCTGAAGCCGAGCACTTCGGTCCAATCAATCGATGGGAAGATCTAAAATTCAATTAAATAAGTAATTAATATGACCCGTTGCACAACAGGCCCATATGGTCTAGTGGATAACGCTTTGACCTTTGAAACTATGGGCATTTAGTTCTCGAGCCTAGGTGGGAACATAACCACTCACTGGGGAATGCAGGTGCATCCAGCTGGTGGAAAAGTCCCAAATAGGACGAAATGTGCATTGTCCTGGATTCCACTGCTAGTCACCATCTATCTACCAGTTATAAACACTGAAAGTTAGTCTATTTTCATACAGTTTTGAGTGTGACCGTAAAATGCATGAAATAATTAATTTTCTGAAGGTGTATACGACCTAATGTGAATTTTTTTTCCTCATATATTTCGTACTAATCAACAGAAGGAAGAGAATGTGTGAACTGTGGGGCTACAAGTACACCATTGTGGAGACGAGATGGTCAAGGCAATTATTTATGTAATGCTTGTGGATTATATCAGAAAATGAATGGTCAAAATCGTCCATTAATTAAGCCTAAAAGGAGATTAGTAAGTGAGATTTTGTGTATCTTTTCTTTTATTCTTTTATTTGCTTCAGGGTAACTTGAAGCATACTGATGCAATTTTTTTAAATAAGCAACCTCTGGAATTAAAAATTTCAATCAGCGTATCCTAAGGAATGTTTAAACACTTTTTGATTGGTTGGTGAAAGCTGAATTCTATGAGTCAAGTTTTTAATGTGATGAACACTATGCTAGGTGCCTTGGTATCACGATGTGCTGTGAATTGTTGTTATAGGGAATCAACAGAAGGCCTTGCTTGATCTAGGTCTTGCTCCTGTTGGCCGTCACCAGTCAGCAAGGCGTGCATCTGCTATCTTCAAGGAATAATTCATATCCCTTATGAGATTCGTACCTATATCAGCCAGTGGTGCAGTCACAGACATGACCACTGACCTCCTGTGGGACTGTCTTACATACATTAATTAGATACTGGGTAGTAAGTAACTGGTGTCATGTGCCTAGTCCTTTATTTGGTTGGTGAAGATTTAATTCTGTCAGTGGTTCAGAAAAGAATGACTAAACCTTTCATATTGAAGTTGTTGATAATAAACAAAGGCTCAGTGATCCTTTAAGCTGAGAATCCTAGCTTCTAGATTTCATGACTTTAGACACCTTTCAATAAAATACACCTATTAGCTTAAAGAAAGTTTTGGGTTATCTCTAGTAAAACCCTGCATCATATAACTCTGAAATATGAGAAATGAAGCTCTAATTTTCTGAATGAATTAATGGGTAATACCAAACTGTAAATTTCAAAACTGGAACTGCACTTCATCTGTGTTTGTAAAAAAAAATAAGCGTAGCAATTTTGTCCGAGATTTCCCCTAGGTCTGTCGGTTCATTTTTTCCAGTCGTACACTACTCTCAAACCACATTTCATCATTGATGTTGTTTTTGCACTGTTTATTTGCGCAAATGTGTCAGTCGTCCAGTATAGCAGAATACTCGCCAACCACGTGTCAGATGGTCCGCGGTTCTATTCCCGACTGACGCACTCTGAAACCTCGCTTATGCGGTAGAAAGTTTAGTAAGGAAACAGAAGGTTAATCATGAAACTAACAATCCGAACCTATAAATCCACACGAACGCTACTGGAACTTTAAAACTAAAGCGTGAAGCCCTACACTCTACTTGAAACACAAAAGAATTATTTTAAAAAAATATATTTGTGCAGGAACCATTTGTCTGAACGTAATCTGAGTCTGTTGATAAGTGAAGATCATTCATAAATTACCGAAAATATTATTACTAAACAACATTCAGCGTTCGTTGTTCGTTCAAGTTAATCTTAATGCATTGCCTAGGAGTCGATAATAAGAACTGGCGTCTAAAACGATGGGCGGGGAAGGAGGGAATGCAGGTACATCCGGTTGTCGAGTCCAAAATAGGCCGAACTATGCATCTTGGATTCCACTGCTACACGCCATCCCCCCAAAACGACTTCAGATATTCAATTCTGCTAAAACTTAGAATAACAATAGATAAATTTGGACTGAATAAATAAATGTTTAAATCTTCTCTCACCTTTAAAAAATATCTAAAATGTAAGTTTAGAAAGAGAAAAGCAGACAAATCAGATATAAAAATATGGTAACTACTATCAATATAAACAACCCATAAGTACTTATCTGTTTGGTAAAAGCCTGTGTATGAAGAAATGTGCTTTATCTAATACGCAAACATGTTCCATCTGTTGCCTAGAAAATAAGAATTACACATAAGTAAATTGTAACAGATTTCATGCATCTATCTGCAACGAATGTTTCCATTAAACCGTATGCAATAAGCATTAATTAATTAATTAATTATTCAATTATCCATAGAATTTATTTCTCATTAATGGCAGGAAATGGATTCATTGGAATGCGCTGTGTGTGTGTGTGTGTTTATTTAGACTAAAATCAATATTTTGACTGTTTCTGTTGGTGATTGGCATATGCAGAATTCGGATGATGATGGTGAAAGATACTTCAGATGACTTCATTAACACACCCGTCAAGTTAAATAGACCTTTATGAGCTAACCTGATGTCGGGATATACCAGCGAGTCCTGCCTGCGGCATCTGAAAGTGGTTGAGACTATAAAATGGGGGGCGGGGGGATGACGTTTGAAGTGAAGACAGAAAACTGAGTTATTTTAGATATGGTAACTGGGATATGGAATTCCAACACAGACCACTTCTCCCTTTTCTCTTCAGTCGTCTTTAGCCAACCCCACGGTCGTCAACAGGCTGTTATCACCTCCATATCACCCATGAAACCAAGCCAAACTTGTCATTTCCCATTCGGGTTCTACTCGTAAGCTGTCACTCGATGGTTTTCCCGACCGATCTTCAATTTCTTCGGAATGTTTCCTGTGCAACAGATTCTCGATTGGTTCGTTCCCAGAGTTTTTCTTTTCTAATTCTTCCTGGGTGACTATTTGATTTTCAATATACAGTTGGCAAAGTCAGCTGGTGATAGAAGTCTTCAGCAGTCTGTTAGAAATACTTCCCATAATGCCCACTGACTGACTAACTCAATATTGGTATCAAAAATCCAGATTTTTTTCTGTATCGTAAGTACAACAGGCTTCCAAACTATTTGCAGAGTGATGAATGTTTATCTTGCCTTTCCTATCTTGGCTGGTTTTAACATGCTCATTCGTGCTGTCGGCCCTAGTTGAAAGGATGCTGCATGCCTGTTTAAGTGAAGAAGGTGACCTCGTTTAAATTTCTTCCGTTGATAGTGAATGATTAGGTAACTTCATCACCACCTTCTACTCTCTCTATATTCACTTGATCTATTGTCTCACGAACTGTCACTTCTGTCAACTTGTTGGTTTTCTCCTGTTAGTCTTCTGATTTATATGATAGAAGACATAGTTCGTCCACAAAGTCCAGAATCTTCTTACCGGTCAATCAGTGATCACAGATACTTAGGATTAATTGATGTGGATCATGTTTCGGTGGATGCAGATTGTCATCATATCCCACCCCCAACCCAAAAAAAGAACAACATTGAAATTTCTCCTCGACTGTATTTCATCATTTATCCTATCGTTGAATGCAAAGAAACATTTTCCGCTTAAATTAATTTCCACCAATTAGTTACTAAAAGTCAAAATGAATAAAAATGATCAAAATATACTCTATGGGATCAGAAGTAACAACGAGTGTCTCTGTGTGTCCCTGTGTGTGTGTGTGTGTGAAATGTATTTATTAGACTCAATAATAATAATATCGCATTATACAGAATCATATTCACGCCTGACTGAAATATTTGACATGTGTTCAACAGGAATATATGCATATGTATATTTAAAGATCTTGTTATCGTATCATATCTCTATTGTCACGCCTTGTTTCCCTACAAACCTTACCATATATATATCGAGGATACATCTTTGACTCAACTTTCCTTCAACCATCCATATCATGTTATGGAGTCAATTATTGTGGCATTGTCTTTATTAAGAGGGAAGACATATTTTCAGTAATACTGATACGATTAATGTTGATTGATATTGTCAGTAATATTATTATGAATGACGATAGGATTAATGTGTCAGATAGAATTTTAAAGCTTTCTATTTTCTCTACTTGTTCATATGATCAGTCCATCCTGGTGGTTAAAAACTTTGACGTCATTTGCCTAGAAACTATGCGTATATATATATATATATATATATATATATATATATATATATATGGATTCTGAGATGTTGAATAATTGACATACCCCTTTATTACTTGATGACAAATTGTTACTGGGATTGCGTAATTCCACCGAAATTATGAGAAAAGAATAGACAGAAAGATAGTTAAGATCTTGATGATAAAAAGAAGATGTAAAAGATGAGGCAATCATTTCATGCATCAAGTCTTATTAATTCAAAGATGGTCCTGGGGAGTTCACAGTTTTTTTTTTACTGAAATATATATAATAGGATTAGGAGTAGAAGTAGCAGATAGAAGTTAGATGGAATCCGGAACCGATTTCTCATGTGTCATGTTATGTGTTATGCGCATTGTGTGAAGGCTGACGATATAACTCAACTGTCTAGTCTGAAGTGCCAGGACACGATTCGAACTTGGGATATATAGGTTGAAAGTCGAATGGCTAAGTCAGTGAACCACTATCTATTTGAATTTGGCCTAACCCTCGGACCAAAGGTAATATCTCCCTAATTAGGTTCGGCTAAATCTAACTTATCGTTAGCCTAAACTTTTAACCTAATCTCACCCCTCTCCCAAAACCTAACTTATAACTTTCTAGATATCCCATTTAATATCATAAAACTTCATTAGGCATATTTTATTCATGATTATGATACCATTTACGTGGCTTCACTTTCTGGCTGGCTGGCTGGTTTCAACATAGAACTTTGCACCAGTGTGCAGCAGTTCGAGTCGCCACACTTCATTCAGCACACAAAGCAAGAGAAGAAAGTAAAAAGAAACGGAAAATAGAAACAGTACACAAAGATATGGGGCAAAATGAATAGTAATATCGAAGAACAACATAGTTTTATTGGATATTATAAGTCACAAGGAGTGGATGCATCTGCACCAGCCAGCTATTGAGAACGGTTTTGAGCCATGTCACCAATTGTCTCCAGCCTCCATTGGTTTTTACCGTCCCGAGGCTCCCAGCCAGTCAGGAAGTCGGCACCTTCCTACGTGACTGGCTTAAACTAACCATTGTGGATTTCATTGACTGATCGTCCTAAGATAATTGGTGCATTCACCGCTCTTCGATGCTTAAAGTTTAACTCACCACTTTATTAATCAAAAGACTTCTCTAACTGATATCACTGAATGATCAAACTTCGAACAAATCAAATCCTTACACATTAACTCTTCAAAATTAATCCTTTGCTCACTAGTGACCAGGTGGATGTGAGGACAACTAGCCAACGATGATATTGGCTGGTGTTCGTGGTAAAATCACCAAGTGGTAAAATTTGGAATTCATGAGTTTGACCATTGGATTGGATTCGAGTGTATGAATGATATATATAAGCTTGCTTTGTAATCGGAACGTTCTGGGTTCAAAAGCCAGTGGGTGCGTACTGCTAAAGAGTCACAAATTAGGTTGAAACAGATGTCCAGTACTCCCCAACTGTCTTCAATGGTTCTCTAACTGATATCAATCGGTAATCACACTTGAAACAATATTTTCACCGACAGGATTCGAATCACTGTCCTCGCAGTTATCTTCGGTGGATTCAGAAGCTAGATGTTATCGCTTACTAGCCCACTGCTTATCCGAGTGCTTATTTAGACTGAATTCGTCATTTGATTTATGCATTTGAATTTGTTAGATACAAAATAGTCGTCTTGTTTGAGACAGAATCCAGGTTATGTGTCTACGTGCAGCATGAAATGTAGTTTAGTTTATGTAAATATATTTATACACCACATAAACTGCCTGTATACTTTGTTGCCTAAAGTGAATTGTAATTACTGAAGTTCTATTTCTCTTTAAAGTGTTAAACTAATTCATACCGGTTCCATTTTTTTTAACAGCAATCTTCGAGTAGACGTACTGGTACTATATGCTCCAATTGTCGTACAATAACAACAACATTATGGCGTCGAAATACTAATGGTGAACCTGTGTGTAATGCATGTGGACTTTATTTCAAATTGCATAACGTAAGTAAAAAGATTTTTGGTTGTTTGTTTGACTGTGTTTAACTCTGTTTATGAAAAGTATTTGAAAACGGTCAGTCATTCATGTTAGAATACTTGGTTTAAATTATGAAATTTGTGGGAATTTTGATTAATTAAATTTCAGTTCTTAGAATTCATCAAGAATCAACATCAATTAATGAGATATTTGGAAACCGGAGCATACTGGACAGTTGTTTCATCGTATTTCTTGGGACTCTTCAGTAGTGCGCACCCTACGAGCCCATCAGGGACCTAAACCAAGACCTTCAGTTGACTATACTGTCAATCAGTTTGAATTTAATGACCCATGAATTCTAACTTTTGGATGGGAGATTTCATCCTCAGCTGCCATCAGTTAGAGAACCACTGGAAAACCTGGGAGTATTGGAAAGCTGTTTCGCCAATCTTAGGTTGGGACTCTTCAGCAGTACACCGACTCATCTTCATCATTATGACGAAATTCTCCATCCAATCAAACTAAAGCCCTAGAAAATCAATACTTGAAAATTCTAACTTTTTATCAATTCAGAATATGCCATCGGTGAGCATCCGTTCCAAACTAACATTGTGAACCTCACAGTCAACGACTTTTCATTAGAAAAGATATTCATCTGACAGCTACTGACTCGTAGAAGAGTCACATTCAGATTTTAAGTTTTGTAAGGAATTCTATTGGCGACAGTGCTATGTAAAAAGTTGACAATAGTTAAAAAATTCACGGGCTTTTAGTTTTCAACGCAGGGACTGAATGTGTTATTCAACGGGGTCGTTGATATACATTGTCGAGGAGTTTAAAACTAGGACGAATTAGCTGTCTAGAGTTTTCCTTGGTTTTCAATAACTGTCTAACTAGTGTTGCTTCATGATGATAGTAACTATATCTCCACCTGACTGACTGCATATCTCTCTTTTTTCCTACAGCGCAGACTATTTCAGATATGATTATCAACCTTTTTATTTTGATTACTTGCTTGAGAAAAGTATGTGACTTACTAATTCTTGCTATTTATACATTTCAAAAATGATAATTTATCAAGTGGTAAACCAAAGTATAGAAAATTAATTTGATGCTCGCTAGCAACTTGCTACAGGATGGAATTTCCTAGAAAAGTTCTAGTGAGAAATCGTGACCAGTGAGGTCCAATTAGGTGTCACGTGTGTGGATGGATGTCCCACCGACGACAATGGTTAGGGTCACGTTAAAATCACGAATTGATAGAAGTTAGAATTCATGGGTTGGCTGGCTATTGAATTGGGTCCCACTGGTTGAATGGTATTCGAGCCAGCTTTCCGTTTAACCTACACGTCCTGAGTTCTAATCGTGGTGGTGGTGGTGGGTTTGTACTGTCGATGATTCCCAAAGTAGGATGAAACAGCAGCTGTCCAGTACTCCTGTGGTTGGTTTTCAGTGATTCTCTAACTGATATCAATCCGTGATCAACTCGTAAAAACAAGACTAACCCTCACCAACCAAACTATAGAAGATAATTTATCAGCTTTTCTACCATGCTACTTAAATTGTTCAGATTGTGACTAAAGTTGTTCCTTTTTTTTGCTTAACTGTGCCTTCTTTATTCGTTTCCTTCATATCTTGTCTTCCTTAACAAGAAAAATCCATACAATCTACCTTATAGAATAATTTGCTTATTACGTATATATATATATGTGTACACTATCTATACTATACTTTCAAACTTCACGCATTCAACTTTCCTCATAGGCGATTCTAGGAGATTGATAATATAATAATAATAACATAGGAGTGAAGATGAGATGGAGGTGTGTGGGTGAATATGAAAGACTGACTACTGACTGGGTGACTGAGTTAATAACGAATAAGTTTGGTGTTGGTGTTAGCTTTGGTGGTGAGGCGGGGGTGGGGGAGAAGGAGTATAATGTATGCTCAAAACTGAGGAAGATAAAATGACAGGACGAAACAAGCAAACACTTTTCACCATATACATATATACTATATCTATAGATGTATACATATATATATAATAAAAAGTCAATGGTGTGATAAACTGAAGTGAGGAGTTAACTACCCATTCTCCTTCTCTCTCTCTCTCTCGCTGTCTCTCTCTCTCCCTCTGTTGTATCACTTATGAAGGCATTACTTATTTATTTATTTTTTTCGATAGATTTTTCTATTATATTGGGCGGGGCAAATAGAATATGACGATTGTTCAGAGAAAGACAGTGAGTGCGTGAGAGAAGGAGGTAGAGAGAGAGAGAGAGAAAGTGGGAGACAGAGAGATAGAGAGGGAGTAACACTCACGAAGATGATTGACCAAATGAGAATGACTTACTGACTAACACATACTACCACTACTACCTACCCAAAATTGAATGCCATTATTGACTGATTAGAAATACTGAAAATAGAAATGCTTGTCGAATGGCTGATAATAATAACAATAATAATAATGGCTATGAAAAATCACAGTATTGATGAATGTTATGAAGGTGAAAGGGAAAACGAAGCAGCTGGGCGCGTAGTGGAGGCAGGCAGGGGGTTGTGGTGGATGGTGAGAGGGAGGTGGATAACACAAGGGCAGATTAATAATAATAATAATAACAATAAAGAGAAAACGTAATTCTGTACATTATTTGATTCTATTAGGATCTCATTTGAGGTGTGTCTTGAAAAAAACTGAGATTTTGGCGCCATTACCAGATGTGGTGTATGACAATGTTTGTTTTTTTTCGCCCTAATAATATTGTGATAGTACTCAAGAAAATAAAGACTTATCATTATTATTATTATTATTGTTAATAAACATATTAATAATGGGCGGGGGGAGAGGAGGGAGTGAGTAAAATTAAAGTATTTATTGATAAAACAGAATGATAGACAGTGAGCTTTTTTAGGCTTAGTTAGCATGCACTACAAAAAATACCGATGTTAGGTAGTATACTCAATTTTGAGAAAAAAAAAAATCAATTATTTGATGAAATGATGAAAGACAGAAAGTGAAAACTGTAAACAACCCTAATGCATTTTTCCTCCCAATTCTGACAACTCTCTAAATTGAGCATATGATGGGCTAATTTATTATAATGAGAACAAGTGTTTATACAGATGTGTTTGTATGTATGTATGTGTGTATGAGTGTGTGTGCATGTGTGTGTGTGTGTGTGTATGAGTGTGACTTTCTGTCATTGTTGGCTATTCTGCTCGATACAACCTTTTAGGGAGTATAATAGAAAAGAGATTAACAAATTTATATTCAATCCTGTAGTGAATTCTGGACATGAAATTAGGCTTGGCGTACTGTTTATTTACCAGTCTTTATGTTTTCAAATGTTAGTTTGTAGAGATTGAATTTGTTTCTATTTGTATTGATATCGGTGAGGTGATGGGTGTAATCTGATGAAAAGTCTTTAACTAGGTTGACGAAACAGTTCACCCAGTACTGTCTCATTGCTGGTTACTTACAGATTTAAATATTTCAAACTGAAAAGGTTTTTAATTGGTGGATGGTGACTAGCAGTGGAATCCAGGACAATGCACATTTTGACCTATTTGGGACTTGTCCACCAGCTGGATGTATCTGCATTCCCCATTTAGTGATGATATTCTCACCGAGGCTCGAACCCAGTGCCCATAGTTTCAAACGCCAGCTGAAGCGTTATCCACTAGACCACTTGGGCCACGAGAGCCACCATCCACCAAATAAATATTAACTAAATGCCCAGACATCGTTGAAGCATCTGCACAAGAAGTCGACATGTCAGCCGGAGACCGAGCACTTCGGTCTAATCAGTTGATGGGAAAATCTCAAATTCAATGAAAAGGTTTTCGTTGGAAATCTAAATTAATTGGTCTTATGTTAAATCCCTCTAAATGTTAGACAGTTAACTTCACCTTCAATTATAAATGTGACCCACATGAACCTGTTTATTCATATTATCCTTGTAGCATAGAGGGCACTAAAGTATAGAAACTAAGTCAGGTGTATTAATTCTTTCTTCCGACATTTCTTGATCTTCCCATGTCTTGTAGACTTCTAGGAAAATTTTCCGTAAAAACCTCCTACATTGAGAGGTTAAGACAATCAGGGGGGGGGGCGGAATCGCTTAAACTCTACTTTGACTATCTCTTAACTCTGTTTAGTCTTTCCTGGGGGTACCAATCAAAACGCCTATGTCATGTTGAGAAGGGTATTAAAGGTTGTTAGTAGGTAGGCAAATGGTGTTTCATTAATTCAGCTCGTTACTACTGTAGTTGGCAGACACTTGAACTCATACTAGAAGTGGTCTAAATCCATACTGTCGGACTGCCAACACCCTCTTTATTCATAGCTGTTCTCTTGCATCTCATGAAGTAGAGCACCAGAAAAACCATGTACAAACACTCAACGATACCGTACTTGGCGCGCCTTCTATGTGACAGAGATGGTGTGAGGCAAACAAAGTATTTCAGTGGTTTACACACAATGATAAGTTTTCGTTTTTGGTAATATTTTGAGCAAAATTACTGCCCGTATTCACATTCAATACTGTGAAGTGGCCCAAGTCTTTACCAACCTTATCCACCACCTACATAACACTGTTAAGTGAAGACATTAGTTAGACAAGGTTACCTTCTATCACCGATTATATTTCTAATTGTTGTGGACTGCATTATCCGGACGGCTCAGCAAGAAAATTCTAGGAGATGTGAACTTTGCAGATAATTTGTGTCCAATGTCACATAAATTCCAGGATCTACAGGTGAATACCAGAAAGTTAGCGAAAGAGACAGACAGCGAAGGTAGGACTTCAAGTGAACATATGGAAGAAGTCACAACAAGCACCAATAACCATAAAACAGAATAAATTTGAAAGAGATCGATTCCTTCACTTATATCTGGTCAAACAGCATCCCCTGAACTACAGGCGATACCACAGATCAGGATATGCAAACGAGAATCAGAAAGGTAAGACAGACATTCATCACTCTAAAATTAGTGCGGAAATCTTCTGAACTCAGCAAAAAA